AATATTGTGTAGGAATTCTGTGAATGATATCTGATTCGATTCCATTCGAGTATTTGGAATACAAACAAAATGAAAAGAATGATTTTTGTATAATCCAGCATTTATATAAAATTAAATGTAAAATTCTTCAATACCGTTTATTGTATGATTTTCACTGTAAACGGTTTTCCAAGCGTAAAACATTTTACATTATTTTACGCTTGAGAAAGCTATTGTTTAGCGAAACACGTGTCGCGGTCTTTGTAAAACCGTTCATAGTGAAAATCATACAATAAACATTATTAATGAATGTTCATATGGATTTTCATCAAGCATTGGCCAGTTCTTTTCAATTAAAAGTATTTGTTTCGAAGTTATTATTCTGCCGTGTAATTCAATGTTTATATGAAAATAGCTGTTTCGAGGGGGTATTTTTTTTCAGTTTGTGTCTGAAAGTTATTTCTTTACATGATCTACACACCTTTGTATAGGGGTAATTTTTTCAAATTGATTGCTTCCTTGCGTTCTTTGGAATATTCCCACATTTTTTGTATCAAAATAAGGAAGTAGAAAGTCAAAACCTTCCTTTCCCAAAAATCTCTTCTAAAAATATACCGTTTCAATTCACCTATAAACATTGTATTTCACCCTATTGAACTAATAGATACTATTGAAAAACTATTTAAAAGTGTTTTCCAGTAGTATCCGTTGCCTGGATGTGTCATTGTCAAATACAAACTGCAAAAAAATTAAACAAGTTTGGTTTAATGAATTATTCCTGAAAATAATCCCTGATATGAACTCAAAAACCTGAATTGTGAAGTAAGTAAAAGATGATACGAGTCAATACTGTTTCAAAATGGCTTTCAGCAAATTGAAAATCTTTGGGTAAAGAGTTTTACTTGGGTTTGGAAATTTTGAAATTTATGGTGCAGAGATACAAATAATGGTTTATTCTAGTGGGTTGAATTATTCACCTTCATACGAAAATGAATAACGGTTTGATCAAGTTAGTGGTGGAATTGAGGAAAAGAGAAAAACAAAAACAAAATGAATCTGGTAATATTGAAACATTGATACTATTTACAATGAAAACCTCTTTTTCTGTTCGAGTTCCGAGCATGAAAAAACGAAAGTATTATTATTGATTGTATTTTCATTCTCAATTATCAAAACTGTCTCATTGGAATGATGAAAACATAACCCAGCCTCCCCAAAAATGTGACGCCTAAAATTTTGTGAATTTACTTTTATTCAACTACGGCATCGGCAGCCTAGATGGAAAAACTTATCCTTATGAATTGGGACTGAAATCAGGCCCTCAATTGTGAATCAACTTGAAAATCAAATCGTTCCAGACGACTACCGAACTATAAATGAAGATCAGCTTCATTACCAACAAAACAGTGTAATTTAGACCTTATTAGATGATTTTTTTGTTATACTTCTTAATATTGGAAGGATATGACCTATCGAGTGGTCTCCGAGATCTCCATTTCTGATCAACTATGATTTTTTTTTACAGAATCATCTGAAATCGATCTAATATGATGATAAATATTATCAGTATATAATTCTATTCGAATAATGAAATTACCAAGTTAATGTAACGATAACGATTGAAGTAGGTGAAGATAAAAATATGAAGATGTTTCCCACTGATGTTTAGCGGTGTAGAAAACATCATTCGGTAGTTCAATTGTTCTTCAAACAATTTTTTGAGGGAAAATAAGAAGATGAAAATAACCTCTACAATCGACAAAATAGGTAGGTTTCTATGAAATCACGTGATAAAAGTCGACTAGAGCTAGTTTAGCTTATTTTGACAATAAGATTATCAAAACTGATTTGAAAAAAATATGTTCACAGTTGTATTGCCATTTTACCTCTTTACTCTAATCAACAAGTTCAAGAACATGAAAAATATATATGAAGGTCCTAAAAATATGAGCGATGGCTCATTCGATTCGGAATCACCAGTAGAAAAATGTTTTTGAAGGAATTCGGTGCAGGTAAAAAATTGCAATTGTTATTAACAAAATGAGATTAAAAAAAACGTGTTTAGTTTTTCGTTAATAACTTGAGAAATGTTAATATTTGAGCAATTTTGAAAAAAGCTCGTTAAAAAGCAGGAAATTTCCGATAAAAAAGTCCCGACTTCCGAAAGACTGTCTCCGTTATTTATAATTTTAATTTGACTTTGAAAACCCTATTTTTACGGCATGCGCGCGCTGCCGCTAAAGAGAGTTTATCAAAAGAAATAAAT